GAAAAAAACAAAGAAAGAGAAAAATTTTATTTTTAAAGATTAATTTTTTTTTTAAAGGATGTTTCACGTATATCATTAACAGAAGCAAATGATCCAAGAAAACTTGCTTATGAAACATATAGAATTCATCGAGATGAATATTTAATATTATGTAAATATTTATCACCTTGGTATATTGGTGAACAACCAGAAAGTTTAGCAAATAAATTATTTGATGTAAAAAAAAAAAAAAAGAATTTTTTTTTTAAATTTTTATTGATCATTTTTCTTTTTTGAATAGTTATTTAATTTAAATGTTCAACCAGATCAAATTGATTTTATTCATTTTATTCGATTATGGAGTATTTTATGGAATGAAGATTTTAAACATAAATTAATTATTTTATTTCTTTCACATTTAGAAGGTTTGTTATTTAGAATTAATTATTTAAATGAATATATTGTTTTTTTTTTTATTTATTATGTATTATAGATGAAAATAAAAGAAAAGAAGCTTTTAATATTTTATTCGAATCAACGTCTGCTCATCGTTCGTCATCAGTAAATAGTGAGAATATATCACTTGAATCAAGTATATCAACTAATGAGCAAATGCCCTCATTGTACATAGAAAATGGAGAAATTACATATCTTAAACCTAGTCAATTACCTTTAATGAATCAAGTAAATATTCGATCTCAAATAAATAACTATCGATTTTAAAGATATCTAAAGAGAAAAAAGATTCATCATTTATGATATCATAACATGCAGAAATTAGAAAATCAAGTTGCACTCAATGTTTGGAGCACTTTCACAAAGATTGTTTGTGTCAGTCTTTCTAACTCCTTCTGTGGGCTTGTGTATCACAGTGTTTCGGACCATCCTCATTGTAATAAGAATGTCTTGAACATTCAATTCCTGGATAGCGAGTACTGCGACGTAGGACAGAAAAGTATTGATTAATGTTGAATTTCAGGTACTTTTATTTTTACCATGTATTTTGTTTATTGTATTTTGATTAGAACTAAGTCAATCGAAATCATATGAAAGTTATAATATATCAGTTTTTGGATTCCTTTGATATTTATAGAGTAGTTTTCTAGAATTGACTGTTACGTTTAAATCTTGTTTCGATTGAAATCTATAGAATTTAAAATCTAAAAATAATTTTTAATGACTCATTTTTTGTATTGCTATTTGATCTTGCGTGACAGATGTTAAAACTTTTGTATTTTCAAAAAGCAATTTTTGAAACGATCACTTTTTGACCGATGTCTATTTCCATAGAAACTAAATCTTTAATATAAACACATAGATTAGATTTCGCTTATTGTAATATCTCATTGGATATAGAATTTAGTACTCTACCATAATATTAAGTCAAAATTCTTCGAATATACGAACTAAGGACTACATCAAAATTGCTGTTTTGCTATATACGGGTAAAATTTTGGGCATTTTTAGAAAATTTACTGATGATTGTTCAATCGTACCTCGGTAGGAAAGTTTGAACATATATTCGAAAAATGCTGATTTTAACTAACTATTTCTAGCTCTAACCAGTTTTCTTTTAATGATCAGGAGATAAGTGAATATTTTGTGCCTATTTCCTCATACGACATTGTCATTGAATCTGAATAAATATTTGAAAAAAATAAAATTTCATATTCTTTATTTAGACTGAATTTATACGTCTATGTAAATCAATATATAATTTAATGACTGGAGCCGCTAATGAGGAAAATTTATTTAGAGCACTAGCAACTTCAAGTACACTTCTTTTAAAAATGGGTTTGTTTGTTATTATATTTGAATTCTTTTTTATTTTTTCCATTTTTTTTGTCTTTTTTTTCATTTAAAAGGTGAAATATGTAAATCTTCTCCTCGTCAAGTAGAAACAAATGATACTACAACAAATGAAATGGAAAATGAATGGATAATTAATTTTGAACAATTTGAAGCTACAATGAATGCTGAAACTTGTTTAGTTACATGGTTTGAAAATAATAATGGTAATAATTTATCACTTGAAAAACGTATTCATAATTATCTTCAAGATATTCAACGATGAGTTTTTTTTTCTCGATTTATACAAGTGCAATGTATATATACATATATATATGTATCTATATTGACATGCAATCTTGTTTTTTTTTTCTTCTATTAAATAATTAATTTGGTGCTTTCATTATTTTATTTTATTTTTTTGTTTGAATTTTTTATGTTATTTGGTTTATTTAAAAGATAAGAATAAAGTTTTAATTTTTATACTTTAAAATTTAATTATATACAGTCATTTTACTATATTGAATGAAATTTATGAAGAATACTATTTAGGATTTAATTAGAATAAAAGAAATATATATATATATCTTTGGATCTTAAGAGAAAAATCAATTTTGAAATGAAATCAATCGTAGAACTTTGGAAATGAATATCAATGAAAAGCAGAGAATTATATTGTGTATTTATTTATTGAAAAGAAGAAAAAAAACGTGGCTTTTTTTATGTTAAAACATTTGATAAACAAGTCTTATCTAAAAAAAAAAAGAACAATAAGTGTGAGAGTATCAGACATCATTTGTTGTTCTTGAAGAATATGAAACAAATACAGATTGAAAGTACTCATTTTTATATATGTTAAATTATATATTCTACATAATTATGTTTGTAGGAATATCTATCTAATTTCTAGCAGAAAATGGGTGGAATAGCGTTAGTCTATTCTCAATTTTGAGAAAATTATTTTATTCAATGTATTCTTTATCTTTAGTTTCAAATCATCGAAATTATTTTTCTACAATGGAATATTTTTTGTGTATAGGTTAATATTAACGTCAGTAGTTAACGTTTCATGTATCCTGTTGATATTACAACAGAATCGTTATACCTTTGGTAATAATATGTATTTAGTACAAGGGGAAGATAGCAAGACTTCAGTAGGAATGCAGTACAATACTTCGGAGTACTGAAGTGCCGTTTTTTTCTCCTTGATTTAAGTATTTAATATGCGCAGTTGTATTATTTTTCGATACAAACATCTTTTATATAATCATCAAATACGAGAAATAAAAGCAAGATATTTATTATTAAGATTAACATTAACTCTTTAGTCACCGTCGATGCATATATGTGTCATGAATTTAATCATCGTTTGAAACTAATACAATCTGAGTAAATGTCAACGTCAAATAATAGAAGCTTTCTACATCATCATTTTGTTACAGTCCATGATAAACTCTTGTGGTAAGAAACATAAATGTGCATAGTGTGCAATTACTCTATTTTATGTATGTTTATCTTTTATTGGTAACCAAAGAATAAAATAAGAAGTCGTAAAAAGAAATGGAAATAGTAAAGAATGAAGTGTGTTCGCTATTTTTGAAAATGCACAATCTGTTTGACTTTTTTTCTGTGTATGAAATTTGGAGACTGCAGGCATTTTTCATCTATATCATACGGACCAGATATATATATATATATATATATTAATTGTAAGTTGCAAAAGCTTAAAAACATTTTTTTGTCATTATTATAAAATGCACATGGTCTTAACACTTAAACTCAAGGAGAAATATACATTTTATTCTAAATTCTAGATAATATCATGAGTAATCAAACATTTCTTATTGGTACTGGTGTTGAAAGTATTTATGCATGTAGTCTTTCATCAAGTGGACAATTACAATTACTTAATGAAATTAAATGTGGACAAGGTTCATCATGGCTTTTACGACGAAATAATTTACTTTATGTTGCTAATGAACATATCGATAAAATAGAAACATTTATAATTGATGATCATATTCAAGGTAAATTGACATTGAAAAATACAATATCATCAATAGGTAATACACCATGTTCATTGGATATTGATTCAACAGGAAAATGGTTTGCAGTAGCTAAGTAATTAATTATCAATAAATGAATAAAAATAAACAAATGATATATGAACTATTGATTTAATATATTTTAGTTATGGTCATCAAGGCACATCGAATGTTGTTCTTTTTCCATTAAATAATTTAAATTTACCAGAAGAAAAAAATGCTCAAATAAATACAATTGATGGACGTGGTCCAAATCCTGATCGTCAAGATCATTCACATTGTCATCAAGTATTATTTTATCAAAATTATTTATATGTTGTTGATTTAGGTACAGATACATTAAATATATATCGTTTTAATAATGTAAATGGAGAAGTTAGTTTAATTGGTAATCGTATAAAAACAGAAGCAGGTGCTGGACCACGTCATATGATTTTTCATCCAAATAAATCATTAGCTTTTCTATGTAATGAATTAAATTCAACAACAAATGTTTATCGAATAAATGCATCATATGAACAATTTGAATATCTTCAAACAATAAAAACACGTCGACAAGAAGATGAAAATGGTTAAATATTGCAAAAAAAATAAAATAAAAATGAATAAAATTGAACATTTTTGTTTTTTTTTTGTATTTCTAGATTCAAGTAAAGAAAACTATCCAGCTGAATTACAATTGACACCAGATGGAAAATATTTACTTGTATCAAATCGTGGTGATGAAAATCTTGTTATATTTAATATAAATGAGAATAATAATGAAATTTTAAGTGTTAAAGAACATCTTGATTGTCGTGGTTCATTTACACGTTATTTTACATTCGATCCAACTGGAAGATTTCTTCTCGTTGCTAATCAAAAATCAAATAATTTAGTTTGTTTTTCATATAATAGGGATAACGGTACATATACATTTGTTTCACAATTGGATAATATTCAAAGTCCTCAACATATGGTTTTTCTTTGATAATTATTAGATTTTTTTGTTTTGCAAAAAAAAAAAATTCAATTTATTGATTTTCTTAATTTGAAAAGATCAAAAAACAAAATAATTATAGTTGTATTTTATATCGAATAAATTTTATCTATCATCTACATACATTTTTTTTTCTAATAATAGATTTTAATTAACTAGAGATCTGTAATTTAATTGTATAATTAATTATCAAATAGTTAAAATAAATTTCACAGGATAATATTTTCCATCTGTACATACTTTGCTAAAACTCGGCAATCTATACTTCGAAGATCGTCATACATATCGATGATCGAAACTATCAATGATATTCTAAGGTGATACTTGCAATACTAGAAACATTCTAATATTGTGTACTGATACGAGTTATATTTAGTAATCATAGTTATGTGACAAGTTAATAATTAGTTTAAATAAGTTACTAAGTTAAGTTGGAAAATAAGTTAATAACTTAGAAACGACTAAATTTGAATTTATAATGCACATATCATAGTTTAATAGCTACTCTCTCTCTATATATATATGTTCAACAAGCAAATGAATAGAACGATCGTTGATATAGATTAATAAAAGGAAATCAGCAATCTTTATTTGGATGATCTTCATATTGGTGCGACACTGCGATCTTGTTTCCAACAATGAGATACATAATCATGCTTTCCAAATATCATTGTATATGAGAGATATCTGATAAATCCAATTGATTAGATTTTCTCTTGATTCTATGGATTTTTTATATTGAATTTTTTCATAACTGTTACCTTCTCTTATTGATATATATTTCTATAAATAGTATTGAACAAATAATGAAATAGTGTGAACTATAGAAAACGTGTCGTATGTATAGCAATGGTATAGCTGACACCATTAAAGAGAAAAAAAAACAATAAAAAAATGCTTCATTTTCATTACCAACGGAAAAAATGAGCGAAACTATTAGTACCAAACTTGACTTGTTCAATGACATTTTACAAATGTCCGATGGTAATATTAACGATGCAATTTATTTAGTTGTAAATTAAACTGTTTAAACGAATTATTTTAACAAAGAGATATAATATTCATTTGCTTATCGTACACACAATTTTCTTGTTAGGCATTCTATTGTTACAACATTGTACACTTTGTATTGAAGATAGATGAAAATTTTGATCTATCACAAGGAACATAATTTACAACTATTTTCTTAGAAATTTTTCACGTTTCCATCATCAAAATATATATGCTCAAGTTGCTTGAGGCATACTAATCCTATATTCGAAATATACTAATAACAAGTAACTTTCATCGAGATTCGATTCACTTGATCCTTGACTGACAGAATAGAGATATGCATATAGGCGCATCTACTAGAAACATCATATCTTCATCTATACAGCATTGAACAATTGATAGAATCATTCAATAAGTTAATAATAATAATCATCGTCATCATCACTTCTCAAGGCATCCTAAGTCGAACAAACACACTTGTAAACAACCGTAAATGCTCGTATATTGACGTATTACACGACTCAGTATTACGATCGTATTTCTCTGTATCATATACGGAGAAATGCGATCGTATACAGTGGAACATAGAGTATATATGGATTTTGTATTCTTAGTCGTGGGATACTACTCCTCGATTAATTTTAATTCTTATGGCTTGATGTCTTTTTTTGTTATTCTACGTAATCTTTTATACAATTGTAGTCATAGCTACCAGATGGTTATTCATACCATAATTACCATAGGTAACTCGTGGAGACACGTTTCTCTCAGCGAATCTGCAACACATTTTGAAAATGTTCTTCGAATCTAACCTTCGATACGTTTGTCATTATTTTTCTCTACATAATTGAACAATTACTATATTCCCAATTTACTTGGAATTAGTAATACCCATTCTTGGAACTAAAGACGGCAAGATTTTATCATTTGGCTAACCGAGATGAGTTTGATGTCGATCAAACGACTTCGAGTCAGTCCATTTCTGAACATCGATCAATTTCTTAATGTGTTCTTGAACAACAATTAGTATTGGATATTCATTGAAAATCAATCCATATTTATTTTCTGATCACTTAAAACTTGTGTATTACAAATTGAGTAGGACGAAATAAGTTTGACAAAGAGAACCGAAAGTCATTGAGAAGACTACTCAATTTAAATGATTTTTGTAAATTAATAAATATATCATTTCAAAGCGCTTTTTTCATGTTCAAATCTGTTTTTTTTTTAAATCCTATTCGATATGCCTAATCTAACATCTTATCATGCTCCACCTATTCATTTAAATCGAGAACTTCCAAAAACTTATTGTGATTTAATTCGACATGAAATTGATTATAATCATTTTCTTCGCACACGTATTACAAATATTCAATCATCATTATCTTTTACAAATAAGAAACATTTAACGAAAACAATGAATACTCAACGACATCGTAAATATTTCGATCATAATCAACGTTTATTTCATATATATCAACGTAATTTACAATTATGTAAAAAAATTCTTCAAATTTGGACAAATAATAGTAAACAAAAAGGTGGTGTTGATTGTCATAATGAAAATTATAAAAAACAAACAAAAATTTCTCATTTTCGTTTACAACAAAAACAATGGAAAGATAATATTGAAAGTGAAAATAAACGATTAATTCGTTCAGTAATGTAACAAAAAAAAAAAAATCTTTTAAATTCATATGTTAATAATTCATTTATTTTGTTTTTTTTTCAAAGATATCATCGAAAGAAATATCAACCAGTACATGATCGATATACAGCTTATAAAGCTTTTCAATATCATTTAAAATTACTAAAAGCTATGTCTCAATATCCAAAATATAATATAAGTAATTCTATCTATCAAAATTCTACTTGATCATGATTATTTATTTAAATATATATATTTATTATAATTACAGTCAATTTTATAATTTAGATACAAATATTTCTTTACAAACTCAATGTCAAACATTACCATTCTCTTATAAATTTCATAGACAAAAACCTAAAATAATCAAAATGAAATTTAATAAACCAATTAAACATCAAGAAATACAAACAAATAAATATATAGAAAATATTTTACAACAAACAATGAATAATGCAATTTATATTTGTAAAATAAAAATAATTATTTTGAAAAGAAAAAGTTTTTGTCTTATCTTTATTATATTTTCAGATAATCAACCTCTTCCATCTGCATTTAATCGTATTAAATCATCATATTCTGCAGATAGTCAATGGTTAAAACCACATTTCAAGAATCACTTAGAACTCTTTCGATCATTTTCATGTCGCCAATTGCTTGAACCCTGGCGTAATACGAAACAACAGAGTGGACCATTAGGAAGTTATACCATTAATGATAAGATGATAAATGAAAAATATCATGTCTTTGATTCATATAATAATACACAGAAACTAAAACAGAAACAATTAAGAAAAGAAACCAACAAATAAATGAACAATCTTCTTTAATATCTTAATGAATCGATTCTACATCTATAATAGCCATGAAAATGATCGATTTATATCTCTTTTAAAACTTTATTGTTATTCGTTCTTTCGTTTTTCATATTATAAAGGAACATTGTTTGAAACGTTCATTTTATTTATTGTCAATGAAGTTGAATTATATACAGTAATCTCAACTTGTTTCAAATATTTTTATCAACTTTTTCTTCTTTTGAGAAATTTATTTGAAGTGTCTGTAAAGTTGATCAATAAATAATTTCTGTTAACAATACATTTAGACAAGAGAAAGAAAGTTTTGATCTTATAAAACATTAGTAGAACACAAAATAATAGATGACAAAATAATAAAGACAGTATTTTAATGCAACTCATTAATTGATCCAACCTTACAAAAACCTTAGATAAATTTCTCAACAAAACAAAAAGTTGCTGGAAATATCTGCATGAGAAAGCTATTACGAGATCATTTTATTCTATTTCAACAAATAAGATAATATAGATTGAGTAATAATTTATGCATTAAGATTGAATTGTGAGTAAAATACTATCGAACTGATATTGTATTGTTATCTAATTGTTATTTATTCTACACAAGGCATTCAGCATGGAACAACTACAATTTTCGAACAGCTACTTCATCAGTAACTATATGAATTTATGATTAAAGTGTCGACATAACTATGCACTTTCACTATATATATATAATTTAACTTTATTGACAACAAAGGAGTGTAGTGAGTAGATTTGATATCTTGTTCACTTTCGTACTTTTAAATAAGTTTTATTTAAGAAAAAATTTATGATATATCCGAGTATTGCATTGCACTAAAATAAATGTGGGAAAAAAAACAATGAACTAGAAAAAAACTTATAAATTGGAAGTACTCTTGAAGAAAAAGAAAATCGATAAATATTTTTTTTCTAGAAAGTCGAGAATCAGAAAGAAGAAATTTGTTGACGCCATTCAATCATTTGATTTATTTTCATTGAACGAGCTAATCAAAATAGAAAAATAATGTTTATAATAGTAGTATTCAAAATTATAATCTTTCTTATATACATAAATATGATTAATACAAGTCATTTTCAAGGTGGAACAATAACATATAAAATTATAAATACTTATGGATCAAAAGTATCTATTATGATAACACAAACATATATATACAAATGGCCATTAGTTTATTGTGATAATTCTTATATATTATCACAAAGCACACCGAATATAAGTTCTTTTAATGAATATAATTATAAACTCAATTGTATAGCAAATTGTACAACAAGAGGTGGATATATAGCAGTACCAGTTCGAACATATTGTATAGATTATTCAGCAGCAATGTCTATAAGTGTTACACAGCGAACTGATATAGTTAATATTACGAGTGGAGCCTATTTTAAAGTTGCTTTTGTATCGTATGTTATACTATTGTTTTCAAATTAATTAGATGTCTCTTTTTTTTTAATTTTCTACAGATCGGCTTGGCGAACATTGAGTTTACCAATAGGAGATCCAATTGACAAAGGTTGGAGTATCTCATGCACTATTGATCTACGTACACGATCAGATACAGGTAAGCCAAATACACCTCCTGTTGCAAATATGATTTCACCTGTATTGATTCCTGTTGGAATTCGACAATCATTGATTATACCAACAATTGATAGTGATAATGATGTAGTACGATGTCGTTTTGCTAATACGACAAATGAATGTTCAGATGTATGTCCACCAAGTTCTCTACCTAATAATACAGTACTCATATCTTCAAATTGTACATTGTTGATTACTGGTGCTCAAGTTGATGATTGGTATGCTGTAGCTATTCAAGTACGTAATAACGATGTGCATCATTTATATAAGACAACGAGTTAGAGTAATCGATTGAACTTTGTTGTTTTCTTTTTCTCTAAAATTTAGATAGAAGATTTTATTTCTTCAAATTCAACTACTCCATTAAGTTCTGTACCAGTTCAACTTCTTATCAATGTATATGATTCACCTAACTGCATTATAGCTCCTCTTCTTTACGGTCCTAATAATCAAACAGGTACATGTGAAAGTATACAAGTTGGTCAATCACATTCGATTATACTTTATGCTGAAAATTATTGCTCGAATTATAGCGTGACAATCGTGGATATTGCTACTTTATCATTTCCTATTGTAATTAAAAGTAATATTATTCAAAATACAAGTACATTATATTCTGTATCTTTAACATGGACACCAACTATAAAGGAAATTGGTTCACAAATACTTTGTGCCGTTGCAGTTGATAGGTAAGTAATAATAAATTAGTTATCAATTTTTTTGTTTTATTCAATTTAGTCAAAATGTTCAATCAAATCAATATTGTATGACATTCGTCGTTAGCACAAGTGGCACTCAACTATGTCCGGGAGAAGTATTAGAAACTTCGTAAGTATCATAACCAAATTTTATTTGTATTACCATCGTACACAAATGAATATTAATATGAACTGGATAAAATTCAATTTCATCTGTTTTTTTGTTTTGGGTTAAGTAATTATTAATATTCATATTTGATATTGTCCGTTGCTATATATACTAGATAGAGCACTGTAAAAATTCTAATCGAACAATTTAGACTTAGAATGTAATTTTCAGTTTATTATCAAGAATTTATACTCTTTCTATGTTTTGATCAATTATTAGTAGATTAAACTGTATTAATAGTTCCAAGGAAATTAATAGTGTGATAAACTATGTAACATTTACAATTCAAGTGAGTACATTGCAACAATGAAAGATTATATTGAAAGTATATGTATATATATTACTTGAGTGAATAATTCACATAGATAGATGAGAAAAGATGTTGATTTTATCTTTTAAAGAACGTAAAATAAATATTCAGAACTAGTAAATTGATTGAAGATTGGTAGTGGTTTTTTTTTCTTTGGAAAGATTCGTAAAATTCTCGGTCCTTCGTTCATTCACATCAACATTCTTTATATTTTTATAACAATATCATTAATTAAATGATAATTATTTGATCTAAAAGAAATTCGATACGGCAGACAAATTTTTGTAAAAAAAATTCGAACTATTTATTTCTGAATAATAAGTTTTTTATTTGAAATATTTCTATAAAAGTTTACTTCTAAATCATAGTATTTCTAAAGAAAAATTTCCTTTGATAATCATGTTTTGATAGAACATCATCAACAATAACTCAAGGAATATTTATTGAATCTTCATCATTTATTGATAATCTCACAACATATATAAATGATAAACAAAGTTCTGCAGATGATACATCATCAATAACTACAACTACTACGACTATCAATACAACTACTGGTAAGTTCAATATAATAAACTATTTAATTATCATTTTGAATCTCGTCAAAGCTTCATCATCGAATGGACTATCGTGGCTATTACCTGTAATTATCGCTGTGGCTGCAATATTGTCACTTTTATGTTGTTTATGTTTATGTTGTCCATCACCTTAGTAAGCTAAAAAAAAGAAAAATTGGAAATTACTAAAATTAAAATTTCTTTTATTTTTAACAGTGGTTTAGGATTATTATATAGAAAACATCGTCGTGATGTATCATCAGAACCATTACCTAACACTGATCAAATTCATCAACTACCAAGAGTTTATATGATTTACAGACGATTCAATAACGATTTCGATGGTATCAATCGACCTAATCGTAGTTTAGAAAGTTCGAGAAGTACAAATGAATCTGATATATATTTGGATTTATTTTCAAAAACACCTCGTGATAATATGAATAAAAAAGGAAACAATGATAGATGGGCTTATCCATCGCCAAGATTTTATGAAATAGGAATATCACGAGCTGAATATAGAAATGGAAAAAACTATATTAAACGTCATAAAAATCTTATACAAGCATATTCATCATACAAAGACAATTAAATATTCATGATAGATCGTTTTGTTTCTCTGTTGTTTTCTTTTTTACTTAACTATATGTGATTAGTCTATTTATATTTCAATAAACTGGCAATCATTTACAAATTTGTATTTCAATGATTTATTCTTTTCGATAAAAATATTCTTTCAAAAAACTTTTTCTTATTCTTAAAAATTTTTCATTTATCAGTATTTTGTATCATTATTCTTTATAGGCATTAAAAAAAATTCAAGCGAAGTGATAATTTTCTAAATAATATTATTTAAGAAAGAACTCCTTATATGAACTTGAAGAAAATAAACATAATATAGAAATCAAAATCAAGATATTTCATGCGACCAACTTTTTGCTGATTTATTATGATGAATTCGAATATTTGCCGGCATCAGCAGTCATCGATCACCAACATGTGGGACGGGTTCGAACTTAAAAGTGAATAAAGTAAAGTCTACCATTGAACAGAGAACAATCGATAGTATTTGAAATGAGTGGACAACTGCAAAATTTATGTAAAAGATGGTAGCAGAATATATCTCATCATGCAGAGACAGATCAGCAGAAAAAAATTCTTCAAATTAATTATTAATCGATCGAATACGAAGTATCCTTTCAACATATGATCTTCGTACAAATGTTAGATGTTTACGAATCAAGATAATGCATTCCAAAATCATCTCTATTTTTGATGAAAAACTGTAACGAAACCCGCTGATAGTAGATTTAGCTCGCTTATGCTAATAATCTTTGTAATAAAAATAACATCTTCAGATAGAACTCAACAAACTTCATCAAACGTACTCAGTTTGAACACAGTTTAATTTAATATTTTCACCCATTGTATTACGGAATTTCATTAGTATCCGAATTTTGTGCCGTTTTGCATTATTTTTGTTCACAAGTATGCACATATTTGGAATATAGCATCGAATTCTGAACAATATGGAGTATTTAGTTAGTCAAAACTCCAATTTTTATGTGTGTCAATAATTTCTTGGATTGAAAATTTTTTTTGTGTTGGATTCTAATGAAAAATACATCATTTGATGTTGGTGACGAATATTTGATTGATTGTAAGTCTTTTTGCTTTCATCCGGATTCAAATAGCAGTTTCCAAAAAAGGATGAAATTCTATAACGGACAATTATTTTTAGTTTGTTATTGGATGAAGTTATTACTTATGATGAGATTACCTGATATTCTGAAAACTGTTTTTTTATAGAAAATTTATTTTTATGTCACTTCGTTTCGTAGTAGAAAGCCAAAACTCTCAGCTCGGCAAAAAATAGATTCTGGAACAGTCGATATTTTCTAAATATCTTAGCTCAAGCTAAAGAAAAATCAATAAAACTTTTATTGATAGTAGATCTAAATGACTTCTATCTATAATAACTTAGCTACGCCTATATATGATTTCTCTTCCTTTCATATGCCTTATTTATCATCACCATCTGTCGTCAATATATTACTATTCGTTAGTAAATAGCCACTATTGATTTTTTTACATATTCGTCAACTGAGTTCATTTATATTATTTTATACAAAACCCAAAAAAGAATGGTCAAGACATATATTAGCCAATGGTTATATACATTTCCTTGGTCTCAAGTTGTTACCGGTTTTTGGCAAAAATTTCCTAATCCATATACGTAGGAGTTTGCTTCTGTTTTTTTTTCTTGATATTCAAAACGAATATTTTTTGTATATAAAGAGGTCATATTTTATCTGAAGATGTATATTATCGAACAATAACTAATGATCAAATCATTATAACAAAACGTTTATTAACTAAAACAAATAAAATTCCACGTTGGGGTGAATTTCTATTTTCTCGAGGTTCAGCATCAACAATTGCGTTTATTATTGAAGAATCTATATGTGATTTAAAACAAAAAACATTTACAACTGTAACAAAAAATATTAATCTAAAATCTTTAATGGTAAATTAATAAAACAAAAAAGAAACAATTTAAAAATAAATTCTTCATAAAAATTATTTGTTTTTTCTTATTTCATAGACTATCGAAGAAATATGTATTTATCATCCAGATAAAAATAATGAATCAAGAACAATTTGTGAAAAAAAAGTTATTGCAACATCAGAATTATTTGGTTTTAAAACAACATTAGAAACATTTGCAATACAACGTTATAAAAAAAATCAAGAATTAGCAAGTCTTGGTTTAGAATTTATACTTCATGAATTATTTCTTCCACATTTACCATTACCAACTATTAAAATAACACCCGATACTCGAAGTCTTTCAAGTAAACTTAGTGCTAAAGCAAAAAAGATCTTAAAATCATCTAATAATGATTCAGTGTAATTGTCATCTTGTTTTTTTTTTGTAGCTTTTTTTCTGTTAAGTCTCTATGACATTCCAGCATATTTATTTATTTTTTTGTAATATTTTTTCTTATTTTTATACATCTAATAAAAATTTCTAATCTTTTTTCTATTTTTAGATAACATGCCTGAACTTCCTGGTGAGAGAAAAAAAAATACTAATAAATTTTGAATTTTTTTTTTAATCTTTTTTTCGATTTAAAGAAGTAGAATATGCTCGACGATTATTAGCTTGCTTTTTAAATCATACACATATTACTAAAGTTACGTATCCGGATGCAGATGGTTTATCAAAACGTTTTATAAATTGTACACCAACAACATTTGCTAATGGTTTAGTTAATCGAAAAATACTTGATATTAAACGACATGGAAAATATTTATGGTTTGAAATGAAAGATCAACAACCTTTAACACCAATATTTCATTTTGGAATGTCAGGAGGTTTTCGTATAAAATCCGCACCTGATATTACTTATTCAAAAGAAATGAAACTTATCAAAATGAAAGCAAAAAATGAAATCGATGGACAATGTGAATCTTTTGTTTATGGTAATTTCAATGAAATCTTTGCATAGAAAGAGAAAAAAATCAAAGCTCTGAATTCATGAGTTTTTAAAATGTGAAACTCACATGTATGTTCGAAGAACATAATGAGTGGAAGTTTAAATCGAGGTTTTTGCAGTGCTACCTCCCTAGGCTTTAGGTGTGAGGGAGGCCAACAGTTATTGGTTACATTTCCATAGAAATTAAGAAAAGTAGGTGTTAGATTTCTCTTGCAGAGTTCCTTAGCAACGAAACACAACGCTAAATAGCATTAACAACAAGATTTGGAACATTCCAAAGCCTTCCTCGAAGCTTGAATTGCTAGAATATCCTTTTTTTTTATTTTTGCGCAGACAAAAATCTACATGCATCATATGATCAACATAAAAAGCGTAAACTTATCAAGTGCTAACTTTGAGATATTATCAATATCAATGTTTGTGAGTTTATCAAGATATATAATAGTACATTGAGATCTGCTGAAGGTATAATGAATATGCACAATAGGCTTATTTGCCAATTAAACAAATGGTTAGAATAATAATATTAAATAAAGAAAAACGGAATACAAAAACAAGGCAAAAAAAAAATTTCTGTTCGGGGTTCAAAAATAAATAAGACACTTGACATATTTTGTATTAAAATAACAAGTTCTTTTTTTTTAAAATGATTTCATTTAGATGATGAACTTGATGCTGATCTAACATGGCCACCTCGTTTTACACGTATGCGATTTTTAACATCAAATGGTCATGATATATGTTATACAGATCTTCGTAAATTTGGACGTTTTCATCTTGTTGAATCAAATTCACCACTTTCATGTCTTCCATTATCGAAACTTGGATTTGATCCTTATCTTCAAATGCCAACATATGAAAATTTTCTTAATTTAATTCATTCATATCGACCAGCATCTATTGAACTTAAAACATTTTTACTTGATCAATCTTTTTGTGCTGGTATTGGTAATTATTTAGCTGATGAAATACTTTATCAATCAAATTTTCATCCACGAAAACGTTTAAATACATTAAATGATGAACAATTAAAAATGTTACATAAAAATATTGATTATGTGATAAAAACAGCTGTTGATGCTGGTAGTAGTCATAAATTTCCACGTGAATGGCTTTTTCATTATCGATGGACAAATAAACGAAAAACAGAAGATTATTATAAATTAACAATAGAATTTGATACTGTTGGTGGACGAACATCAGCTTATGTACCACAACGACAAATGTTATCGAATGATGAACAACAACAAGTTGACATCAGACTTGCTGCAAGAGAAATTAAACGAACAAATAAAAAGATGATGAAAGAAAATGATGTAAATAGTAAAGAATCGAATGATGACGAAAATGATGATGTTTCCATTGATATAAAAGTATCGATAAACAAACAAAGTAAACGAAAATTAATTAAAACTGGTAATTTTATTTTTATCTTTTGTTCGTAAAATTTAATTTTCTCTATATATATATAGATTCGGAAGTAAATGAACTACCATCCAAGAAAAAATTATCATTAGCTTCAAATGTCATATCAAATCGACCACAACGAGCATGTAAACAGAAAATAATTAATTATCATGTATGATCAGAGTTTTTTTCTTGCAAAGTTCTATTATCTATTTTGTTGTTATTTTAATTTTGTAATATATATTTTTTGCCTATTCTCGATGTTGATGAACAATTCTAGATAATGAATAAAGACAAATAATAACTGTCTCATTGATAACACCAATGTTAATCAACTAACAAGCTCTTTTTATTACTAACTACAGGTTATAATCGAATAATAATGCATAAAAATTCAATCAGTAATAATAAAATATTGTGTCTATATTCGTATTTTCTTTAGCAACTTAATTATTGTGTTGTATATCAACAAAAAAAAAAGAGTTTAATTCACAATTGATATTTTGTCAACATAGAAAAGAAAAAGCATGCATGATTTAGTGATAGTTAATGTTAATTCAGTTAAGAAATTAAATTAAGTGTAAAAGGGTATGAAGATCATTATACGACGAGACGATGAAATAGTATGCATTTTAGATTTGATTTCTTTTTCATTGTTCATTTCTTTTGTATAATACAGAATTAGTAAAAATAGATGGAATAAATCCAAAACCGGCAATCTGATTAATGACCGGATTTTGTGCTTCAATCTATCTTTTATATAGCAGATACTTTTCATTATACACAATCGCGTGATGTATTAAAAGGATTCTTTTTTTTTACTTGTCATAGCATATGTTTATCTTCTTTATAAAAAGAGATTATTATTGTTCATCATTTACTTGTCTATTTTGAATAGTTTATTCAATCACACATCAACCGATAATTAAGCTAAAATTTATCATTCTTCTCATTTTGTTTGTTTATATGAATGAAAATATGATTGATTACAGAAATAGATATAGAAATATGAATTTTATACTTATGATTTATTTTGTTTATCTAACGTCTTTTAATCGTAAAGACAACTTTTCATTAATCAACAATTGTAAAATTTTAAAAAAATACATCAGTCATTAAGAGTCAGTTATTGATTTGATATTCAACGTTCGAATTCATCATTGATTGAACATCATAAGGTTCAATCGACAAGAGATAAAGATTCTAAAACAATAGTTAGTTGAAACAAGAAAATTTGTGAAAGCATTGGTCTATCAACATATTTCCTATTTCATTTTCAAAATAAAAACTTTCAAGATCATATATTGTTGTTAAAATAGAATAACTATCAAGTTCGTGTATTACATTCCAGCATATATTGAGACAGGCGTCTGTCAATATGGTAGTACTTGAGGAGTTTCTTCAATTGCATACAGTGAATGAATATCGATGTTCTTAGCAAAATCATATGTGCACAGTCGAATCATACATAGGATGTTTTTCTCTTATTTGTAATGCTTAATATGTGTAACATATCGATGATTTATCAATATATCACGAAAATTGTAAGTCAGTTGGATGTGTACAGACAGTAAACATTTTCCAGGTCAAATGTTCTTCAATGATATGACATACCCATTAATAAGAGCTGTTTCATATTCATCAAATATAGTTCAATTGGCAAATATGAAAATAAAAGAAGGTATTCAGTGAAAGTCAGAAAGAATTTCAATATAGAGTTTGGTAAAATTCGATTGGTTGCTTCAATACTACAAAAAAAACCTATCAAAATATCAAGTAACAGATTATATAAATTGAGAAATAACATGCAATATTTGCAGTATATTTACATAAAGTCTCAACGGAAATCAACGTCAATGATTCAAGTTTGGATGTCTTCAAACAACAAACAACACATAAAACATATTCTTCATTGAAAAACTACTACCACCATTTCCACATATGGTACATGTATGTATAACTAGATGATATTCAATTTTGTTTAATGGAACTATATAGTTAAATGGATTTTGAAATTGGTAAAATAGATCGAATTCAAAATCAAACAACTTATAACATTCAACTCTTACATTTTAAGTGTAATATTTCAAAAACAAAGTCATGGCCAACGACATCAGATAGGTATTAAAATATTGTAGGTATTATGTTTATCTATTCTGGAATTTTCCTGAAAGAATATAGGTTATAGACATTAATATTAATTCATTCATTAGATTTATTGATATGAGAAAACACTAGATAATGAAGATATTTTTGGTTTTTGATCATGCTAAACCGAAGATCTATTATTTTCAATGATACAATGCTAAATTAAAAAAAAACAACAACATTCCATGCTATTATTTATTCATTCATATCATTAATTATATTCAAAATTATAATATGACACAAAGTTATTAAGAAGAAGAAGAGTTCATGTAATACGAGTATATAGAGATTCAATATTGATATCAGAGAAAGATAATGATAGTTTGTTAGGTTGTCAGATTATATTAGTGTCTGGAACAAATGTAAGAATGATGGCTAATGATCGTTGATATATCATATAGAATACTATACAGAATGTGTTAGAGAGATGAAGTGGTCGAAGAAAAGATAAATATGGTCATGTTGTGTTATCTCAAATAATGTGTTTGCTATTATGTTGTATTTGTCATTAGTTATTAATGTTTGTATACGACGATATTAAGAAAGATCATCAATATCTTAAATATGTACGAATTAATCAAAACAAAAAACGTCTGTATAATTTGTGTTGGTTTTTTTCTATAATACAGAGAAACATAAGTGACGAATATAACTCAGATTTTTCAAATCTTTTCAAAATATGCATGATAATTAATATATATAATTTAACCTTAATATCTTAATATGTCATTATTAAATCTTGTAAAATTTATCAATAAAAGGACACATTTTAAAAGGTTTGAAATTCTTTCATTTTCCTGTCTTTAAAATTATATTTCGTTTATATTAATTAAAAGTTTACTTTAGGAATAGATAAGATCGTAAAAAAATCATGATTACTGACATATTGGCAAGAAAAAAAGAGATATTAACGGTATTATAAAAAATTCTAAGCTAAATATTTTATAATAACAAATTGATATATACAGTATATTTAACTATTTATCAAATTATAGAGTTTCGTAAAAACAAAAATAATCATTGAAAATTAAATGTAGTAGATCTTATTTGACTTTGTAGTTTTTTTTCTCTATTATCAATAATTCAATATCGTCAAGTAGTGACATCTAATATAAATTATACTGCACAAGTATCTTGTCAGAACTGCCATGACCTCTGTTTCTTCAACCTCCTATTTTACTGCTAACTTTTGTCTATTTTGTTAGCAGCTGCACCTATATACTGACCCCCTCGTCCGTCCGTCGTTGTTGTTTCTCGCACTCATTCATGATCATACTATTGTATATAAATAAACTATATCGATTATTTTATTTTAATTTTCAGATCTCATCCCATCACTGTCTCTTAAATAAACTAAAACTATGGTGCAAACAAGTCCCACCCCGTTTGATGTAAGATTTTTTTTTCGTTTTGTTTTAAATATGTATATTACATGTATGATTATGAAATTCAGGTGGGCCGTGCATTCGTCCATCAGTATTATACACTATTACATCAAGCACCTCATATGCTTCATCGGTAATTTTTATTAATATTTCTTTTTGTTTTAAAGTTATTTATCTTTTTTTTTAATATATATTATATATATATAGATTTTATTCTACGGATAGTACATTCATACATGGTGGTGTTGATCGACCAGGTTGTGTTGAACAACCAGCTGTCGGACCGGAAAATATTTCCCAACGAATTAATGATCTTAATTTACGTGATTGTCATGCTAAAATTCGTCAGGTCGATTCACATCCAACTATTGGTGATGGAGTTGTCGTTCAGGTTAATTTAATAAAAATGTTTTAACATATATTACAAAAAAACAAACATTGTTATTTTATTCAGGTTACCGGTGAATTATCAAATAATGGTGATCCAATGCGTCGTTTTATGCAAACTTTCGTATTAGCACCACGACAACCAAAAAAGTACTACGTACAAAATGATATTTTTCGTTATCAAGATGAAGTTTTTGATGATGGATCAGATGAAGTAGATGAGGATGACCGGTCAAGTTCACATATTTATGGTGATACTATTTCAAATGCAGTAAATAATAAAAACTAGAAAAAGAAACTTTTTTTAAATTAAATATATGAATTTTTCTAGGACAAGGTTTCAAATGCTGATTCATCAGCAGCAGTAGCAGCAACTTCACAGCAACCATTACTTGTAACAGCTACTGTACGACCATCAATGGAAGAACAACAACAACAACAGCAACCATTACCACCTCGTAGTAGTGTTCCAACACCTGCAGGTAATCAACAACCAATTATTCCCATTCAAACTGTTCGCCAACAAGAACATCAACATACAGGCTCAACTAATTTGTAAGTTTTAATATTGAATTAAATACAAAAAAAAATATCAAAATATATTCGATTATAGGAATGGTTTTTCAAATGCTAATGTTAGTGAACCTACTAGTTATAGTGGACTCGGTCATACACATCTTCAACAACAAGAAACAGTTCAATCACATCGACAATCTAGTCCAAGGCCATTAAATCATCAAATTTCACAAGAAAATCAACAACAAACAAATGGTGGTAATATGCCAAATCAACAACCGGTTAAACAAACTACAACAACACAACAACAACAACCAACAACAGAAGGACAAAGACCAGAAGGAAGTAAGTGAATATAGAAACAATAAAAGAAGAATTGATATTGATTTTAAAAAAATATTTTTATTTTAATTAGCATCCTATGCTGGTATTGCTAAATTACATTCATCTACGGTTTCAACACCAAATATAACATCAACTTCAACAACTGTTCCACGTAGTGGTTCAGTTCCAAATGCAGTACCACCATTAAATTCTCAACAATCAAATACTGTTCGACCATCAGTAAAAGCACCATCAACAACAACAACAACTAATCGACCAAGTAGCAGTTCTCAATCGGGTCAACAACGTGGTGGTAACAATTATTATCAACAAAATAATCGTGGTAATTATTGGAATGATAATATTCCAAAAGATCAAAGTCCTGCTCATCGTTCAGGTACGAATGTAGCAACAGCACCAAATGAACAACAAGTTTTTGTTGGTTCATTACCATTGAATTTCACAAAAGAGACATTAGTTGAATGTTTTTCAAAATTTGGTAAAGTTCTCGATGCAAAAATTCATACACCTGCACATGACAATAAGAAGGTTTCTTTTTTTTTTATTAATTTAATGCAAAAAAAAACAAGATTTTGTTTTTTATTCATTTTAAATAGAATTTTGGTTTTGTTGTTTTTGAAAATCCAGAAGTTGCAACATCTATTGTCAAAATGGAACATGTTATGTATGATGATACAATACGTTTGAATGTTGAACCAAAAACTCAACGAAATTATCCATCAAATAATAATACTAGTGGTAATTTTAATAATGGACCACAAGGTGGTGGTGGTGGTGGTCGTAATAGTAATTATCAAGGACGAGGTAGTGGTCGTGGTGGAAATCGAGCACCATATCGTGGTGGTGGTGGTGGTGGTAATAATCAAAGACGTGGCGGTGGTCAATTTAATAATAATTCACCATCATTTAGTGGAGGAGATGAGAATAACAACGAATATCGATCTAGCAAACCTCAGCAACCAGTACAACAGCAGTAATTAACTGACGGAGACCGATGGATGATCTCGTCTTTTTTTTTTGTCTTTTGTTCCTTTCATTTTTTTTTTCTTTTTTCTTTCTGTCTCTCGCACGCGATTTACTTATACTCAAACTTTTCCTACACACCATGGTATGAACAGTTGCGATGACGGACGATCCTCTTTTTTTTTTTCTTTTTTTTCTTTCTTTATCTCTTTTTTTTTCCTTATTGTTACCGTTCTCTTGTTTTATACGAATTTCATATTTTGTTGGTTATCCGACATGGATTGGATGAAATGGGCGTGAGAACATCGTATATTTATAAAACACAATAACTGTCTTTCAACATCATTAACTGCTTTTCATTAATCGTAACTACTCCTTTCTTTTATGCCTGCTTATTTGTTTGTTTGTTCTTTGTTAAAAATGCTGCCTTTTTCTCGTGATTGCCGTCACTGTTTTTTCTCGGGTATTTTTTTTTCTGTACACATCAAAGATATACATGTTGTTAGGCGATATGAAAAAGCAGATGGATGAGAACGACGGACAGTTTAAGTGTGAATAAAATTATGAACGTAAGGAGGCGTGTATGATGCTCATTTATTTGTTTGTATATGGAATGCAAAAATCAATCAAAAACAAATCTTCTATAAAAAAAAAAAAAAGAAGAAAACCGATGAAAATAGTTATTATCTTTTTTTTGTTCTTTTCAAATGATAAGATTATTTTAATTATTTGCTTGATGATTTAGAAGCTAATTGACGATCAACTTCAAGTGCAGGTTCTAGAGCTTTAACAATTGTTTCTTGTAGCTCAGTTGTTGTTGGTAATAATGGTGCTCGTGCAAGACCACCGTAACCTAATACACGTTGCATAGCTGATTTAAGACCAGATATTCCATTCCAACGAAAGAATGCTTGATCAGATGCAACAATTTTACCTTGAAGACGTTGTATTTCTTTCCATTGATCAGTAAAATGTTTTGTATATAAATTAAATAATTGACAAACTACATATGGTGCTACATTACCAAAACCCGGTACACATCCTTGAGCACCAACAGTTAAAAATGGAAGAAAATTTTCAGCTGAACCACTCAGTACAGTAAATGTTTTTGGATCTGTATTTTCACAAACATATGCAGCTTTACCAACATTACCATCTGTACATTTAATACCAACAATATTTGGATGTGCAGCTAATTTAACAATTGTTTCTTGTGTTGTATCCATTTGTTGTGTAACACCAGGAAAATTATAAATAATTATTGGTATTGGTGATTTATCAGCTACTTTAGTATAAAATGAATAAATAACATCGGATCGATTTGATGTCCATGAAAGATAATATGATGGTGGTAAAATCATAGCATATTCAGCACCAGATTTTGCTGCTTGTTCAATTAAATTTAATGTTCCACGAACTGATTCTTGTGAACAACCAGCAATTAATTTAGCATTTGATGATATATCATCGATTGTTTTTCGTGCAGTACGTAAAACAAGTTGTCGTTCTTCTTCATTTAAATGAACAGCTTCACCTGTTGAACCCATACAAACAACACCATGAACACCGGCTGAACATAAAAATTTAATATGTTGAGCTAGTGTATCAACATCAACTGGTTGTTCATCGGATGGTTGATCATGAAAAAATGTTGGTATAGGAACATATACACCAGGAGGTAATGAAGCGGGCATGTTTTGTTTTACTTTTTTCTTTTGATTCGTTAGAATGGCTATCTGAATAAAAGAATAAAGTAAATGCTTTTTGTGTTTTTCTTTTTTTCTTTTTATTCTTATTTTATCTTATCTGATCTTATTGTCTTTAATGTGTGCACCCCCCTATACATCTTGTAGTTTTTTATATATCTATGTTTATTATCTTCCTATCTATATTCATTCTTATTTAGGGTCATCATCATCATCATCATTTTCATTGCATTTAGCTTCTCTTTTTTTTTCCTTACCAATTATTGGAACAATTTGCAATTTGAAGAGCTTCGTTCTCTATTAGATATATGTAGGAAAAAATTCAATTATGACTAATCATTGATTAAATACAAGCTAACGTCTCTGATGATAGTGTGAGCAAAATCAGAAATGGGTGTATAGGAAGAAGATCGTTTAGGGAATAAGAATGCGCACATACATATATATATATATATATATAAATATACATTTATATGATGACAAAATAACTATGAAAGAAAAAAAAAAGAGAGCGACAGAGAATTGCATGAAAATTACATCGACAACTCATTTTATCCATCATTACATATAAGCATCGTAAAGTGTCTTAGAGTATTAAATTGAATATTTTCTTTTTTTATGGCAAACGAATCTACACCGCCATCTCTTTGGAATTTTTCTTTACCGCTTGTTGTAGCTCCAGCTTCAAATACTATTGAACAACAATCATCATCGATTGTTCATGGAGTTGGTGAACGAAAACAACGAACATTACGTTTATCGATCAATGCACGTGAACGTCGACGTATGCACGATTTAAATGATGCACTTGATGAATTACGTTCAGTGGTTTGTATTATTTGATTTTAATTAATGATTTGTTTTTTTCCAAAAAAAATAAAAATTCTATTTTAGATTCCATATGCACATTCACCATCGGTACGTAAATTAAGTAAAATTTCAACATTGTATTTGGGTGAGTTCGATTTTAGATTTATAAATGATTAAAAATAAAAATAAAATAATTTATTTCTAGCTAAGAATTTTATTCTTTTGCAAGCACAAGCTATTGATGAATTAAAAAAATGTGTTCTTCGTGCAAGTATTATGAGTAGTCAATCAGGAACCATTCTATCACAAACAGCAGCTATGGATTTTCCTACTACAGATCAAATAAATGATAGATGAAAAAATTACACAATCGGACTCATGTTTACTTTTTTTCTTTTTGACTTGAAATAATTAATTAAATTAATATTTTGTCTACACAGAGATTTTTTGATAGACTTTACGAAAATTTAATATTTGGTAAAAAAAACAAAATGAAATTTTCGATTTTGAAGAAAAATATAGAGATTTTTTTTTTTCGTCATTATAAGATCTATTTGTTTGACAAAATATTAATTTAATTAAAAAAATATTATCTTCTTTATAAAATTAAATCTCCTATTAATTGAAGAAATAAAATCCTAATTCAATAAAGTAGTACTCAACTGTTATTGTATCAAATAATGAAAACAAATGATATAACGTATATTTGCTTATAACTAGAGCATGTCAAATCATCAATACTAATATGTCATTTCATTTAATTCTTCTATATAGATGACATTCATTGATTATGATACTTGCTTAAATCTATAAGTTTTTTTTTTTGTTGATTAAAAATCTGTGTCAAACGTTTGTGACAAAATTTATCTACCTAGCTGTCGAGTCTGTTGATTTATATTACGAGGGATGTATGTGTATATATATTACTAAAATCTTGTGTTCGTTTTTTTCTTTTGATGAAAGAGTATGTCAAAACAAAAAGAACAGAAAACAAGCCATGTATGTCACTGCTTTGAATATCACAGTATGCGACATACTTGTAAGGAATTTGTTTCTTGTTTTACATTCGAATGCTATTATTTGTTTGTTATATTTAATTTTTTTTTTCGCATTAAAAAATGGAAGTAATACTTGATGATAACTATTTGAATCTCTATAAGTATTGTTTTTTAAATTGTTTCTTTTCTCTATACAATTTATCAAATCCATCAATGTAATTAAAGATTTATATAATTAAAGACAGACACTGATTCTTTTTTTTTTGAAGTATATTTAAACGTAGAATATTCCCTTATTGATCCAGGTTCATGATTAAATTTATTTTTCTGTACAAAAAACAAAGAAAAATAGTCACGAAATAGTTAATCTATATTCAAAAGTCTAAAATTAATACATGATATATTTTCAATATTGATTAAAATGTTTTTTTTTTCAATCTCTCGATAAAATTCTTTTGTTATAAAATATCTTATTGAAACTAAAGGTATTACATTAGATAATTATTTATCATAATGTTACATTTTGTCATTATCGAATCAAACGTAATATAACTTTTGTCTATTGAAAAATATTTGACTGATTTAAGAATTCAGTTTTCTTCTTGTGTCAAATATTTCAATCAATTCTATAATGTGTTAATTTGTTAATCGAGTTATCAAAATAGATAAATATACAAAAAAAATGTTATTTTTCTTCAAAACATGATCTTACCCGTCGTAATGAGTTAGTAACAATCTTTGTTTATCGAATGAAATGATCAAATATTTTACTAAAATGATTAAATCAGAATTAAAATTATGAGTTAAACATCTCAAATTATTTAAGTCGACTTTTCAGATAGACAAAAGTATTATTTAGTTATTCTTTTCAATCAACCAAAAACAAAAGAAAATTTCTTAATTATAAGATAAACTTGCTTCTTATCGTAGTAATATATCATCATTTAGTAGTTGTACATATCAAATATATCCATGTAAATTAAATGATAAATATGTGAAATATTGTACGTTTAAACTCCATTTTAAAACAATAACGAAAGATATTAGATAAAGAGAAAGAAACTTTAAAAAAAAAAAAGAATGATACGTTCCTCGTCATTGAAAGAAGATACTTTGGTAATTGAATAGATAAAAAGATATATGGTTGAGGACATTTCTCAATTTAGCTAAAAGCAATTATTACCATAAGTCATTTATTCAATAAAACAATGGATATATTTTTTTTTCAGAAAATTGTTGTGAGTTCAGACGTAACTCAAAGACTAAACAATAGAAAGGATATTCTATTTCTCTTATATCAAATAATAGATGCCTGATTTAATTTGTACTTAGACTATAGGTTAAAACATCCTAACTTGGATAATTTTCATTGTTTATCAGATGTAATGTTCGTTGATGTCTTAGCATTGTCTATCAAAGACAAGAGCATATACATATTGAAAAGACATTAACATAATTCATAGACAGGCGTAAAAATAGCAATAGATTGACATGAGGAAT